CTACACCCTGCACACCTGTGTAAACAGACCCTTTATTAAACTCTCCTGATCCCAGTGGAGCGTGCCATCTGTTTCCTGCTGGGGATCCGACTGACAGAGATGTTTTCAGGTGCCGCCTATCCACACGCCAAAGAGACATGTGGCCGATGGCCAGGCCCCTGTGCCTGGACCCCACAGTGGGCAGGTGTACAAATTTGATCCTTCCTCCTCCTGGCTGGCCAGGAAGGCCAGAGCTACAGGAAGGGACAGAGCACGTCCACCCTGGCCGCTAGCCACCGGAGGAATTTTAGGCGGCCCCCGGGGACCCCCCAAGGCGGCTGTCCGTCTCCAGCGCAGGCCGGGAGCCAGAGGCTGTTGAAAACAGCAAAGCCAGACCCACGCAGCAAGGGGGAAAGTGAGTGCAGAGTAAAGAGCACACCTGGCCGGGGGTCAGTGTATTTGGGGGTCGGTGTATTTGGGGGTTGGTATATTTGGGAGTCGGTGTATTTGGGGGTCGGTGTATTTGGTCCCTGCCCCAGTGGCCTCAGGCGAGATCTTTCTATAGTCTGGGTCTCAGTTTCTTCATCTGCACCATGGGAGTGGGAGGGCAGCCTGCTGGGCTGGAGGAGCTCACAGCCCAGGACCACAATCGGAGTCACTCCGTCACTCACCCGCTCGCTTGCCCAGCCCTGTGCCAGGTGCCACCTCACAGCCACCTTGACGAGCTGAGATTGTCATAGCTCCCTTTCCCAATTCAGGAAACTGAGGCTCAGACATGCACGGCAACAGGACTGGGGAAAAGCAGAGGATAATTCAAATCGGGGCCTCTTTCCCCCTTTGGCTTCTAGAACATTCCGTCTTGGTTTTCCTCCCACCTCCCTGGTCGCCTTATCAGCCTCCTCACTGGTTCCTCCTCATCCTCTCACACTTGGCTCCTGGGCCTCTTCCCTTCTCTGTTTGTCCTCACTCCCAAGTCAGGTTTTCTCAAACCTTTGTGACCATGACAACGTCATGTACCAGCACAAACCCCAGGACTCAGGCTCAAATAACTGAAACAAAGGTTTTGTGAACCAACATATACCCCTGTGATGGGCATCCATCCTGTTCCGTTTTCTTTCAAATACTGATCACAAGCCCCTCTGCTGATTTCGTTACCCACCAGTGGGTCTTGGCTGTACAATATAAGACCCTAGATCCTGGTCCTTGAAGTGTGCTCTTCCCTCAGGCCCTGCCCCAGACCTGTGACTTAGAACTTGCACTTTATCAAGAACCCCCAGGGCACTGATGTACGCATTAAAATTTGAGAAGTGCTGTTCTGAGTGTCGTCATTCAGGCAAACAGCTTTAAATACCATTTACACACTGGTGGCTCTCAACTTCATATATTACAGATACAAAGCTCCAGCCAGAACTCTCTCCAGGCTCCTGGATGTTGAAGAAGCAGCTCAGACTTCCCGCATCCAAAACTGGGCTCCATCGCTTCTCTGCCAACTGCTCCTGCCTCAGACCCTCCACCTCAGACCGTGACAGCTCTCTCCTCTCGTTGCTCAAGCCTCGAGGTTGACCTTGACTCTCACACCCCTCATCCAGCTTACCGGCTAGTCCTGTCGACGGCTCCGCCGCATTTCCGGTGTTTGTATGGTTCCCACCAGCCCACTGCGACCGCCCTGGTGACCACCAGCACCTCCTAGAATACCGCAGTACCGAGCTCTCCCTGCTTCCGAACTTGCCCCTGGCCCACTCTGCACACCGTAAAGGGGGCCCGTTAAGCAAAGTCAGGTTGCTCGGTGTCCTCCGGGAGCAACCATCTCACTCAGTGTCAAAGCCAGGGCCTCCCGCATGGCAGCGGAGCCCCCCCCC